AAACGGGCACAGGGGAAGGGGAAAGGAAATTCGGGGAAGGGGGAGGGGGCGAAATAAAGAAATAAAACTAGGGGCAAAGGGAAGATACTTACCATAGACAAGAAAACAACAAGGGACACAAACAAAAGTGTCACCAAAACAGTATGAAACAACAAGACATACACCTTATACATGTATAAGTCTCTTAATCTGTTCATTTGAAAATTCTGATCTTCTCAATGATTTTTTTTTAATATCCTCTACATAAAATTTATTTCAATTAAAATATGTGACCCTTCCCTTATAGTTACACAGCATATGACTGGATCACAATAAAGTTCCTTTTTAGTAAATTAATAAAGTATGTCAAGAAGACATTTAACTTTATCAGTAAGTTTAATATTGTATTATATATCGGCAATCAGTGAAAAAGAACTCTTAAAATATTGGTACAAATACTGAATAATTTGAAGTGTATTTCAAATAGTTTCCTTCAATATTTCTTTTACGTTCTTAATTGTCATATAAATATGCATGTATAAATGAAGTCAGTATTTTATCCGAGAGTGACATTTGGCAGTCATTAGCAGTAAACAAGAATGCAAACCACCTATTGATAAATGTTGAGTACATGTACTAAAATATTTAAAAAAAAAATTAAACAACAGTACATGTACGGAGCCTATTTGCTACCATTGCATTTTAGGTTAAATACATTAATCTTTTCAATAGTATTTAATAATGCACACATTTATTTAAAAATAATGAATAGATTCATTTCCCCCGATGATTTTTTTTAATTTAAAATCTTCATGCGTAACCCACACTTACCTGCTAGACACACTGGTAGCTACTACCAGCTTTCACGGAATCGATTTTTTACGATGACGTCATAACATGTCCGCCAAAGATATTGTAGACAGTACAAATTTGAAATAAATCGCATTTATGCGTTAAGCCAGGTACAATCTAATATTTTTTCTAGAAGAAGTTAGTACTAGAATTTATATTCTATTGATCTGTAGAGGATATTGAAGTTACTTTCAGGTTTAAGCAGTAAAAATCAGTCCAAACTATCGATAGTGTTGCCGGTAGATTTTCCGTGCGTAAAAATGACAGTTAAAATTAGGCGTAACCAGTTAAGCGACATTCACCATTGAGGAGACATTATCTTTATTTGGGGATTGTCTCCCGAATAGGAGATATAAGTGGTAACATAAGATATATATATTTAATGTACCCCGATTAGGGGACAATCTACCATATTAGAGACAGTCTCTTGATTGGGAGTAAATTCTTTACTGTATGCCTTAATCTCCAGATCAGGAGATTGTCTCTTATTACAAAGATTTATTCTAGATTGGGAGACAGATAAGTAAAATATCAAGGCTGACTCCCAATCGGGTGAACCTACGTAAAAAGCGGGAAAAAAAAGTTTACAAATATTTTCATATTTATTTCAATAACAAATGCTTTACAGATTTAATTGCTGTTTTACTAAGCATTTTACGTGTCGTCATTTTTACATATATAAATCGTTTGTTTGAAGAACTTCATGTAGCTGTTGGGCAACCTGTGGTAAGTGAAAGTTTTCTGTATTAAATTCCAGTAAGTAAACACACTTCAGTTTTGGACCCCCTCCTTGAACTTGACCGTCATGTTGAAATTCTCCAGTGCAAAATAATGATGAACGTGCAATATTGTTATTTAATATCCAATCATAAATAAGACTCTGTAGACCTTGTGGAACACGTCCAACCAAATGACCATTTGTTGAATCATAAACTATGATTGCCCTTGGATCATAGGTGTTGTTTGTTTCTCTCATACAAAACAAGCCGATGGCTTGATTCTGGTCTGTAGCGAAAGTGATGGTATCTGTAAGCCAAATGACAGTTTGTTAAGTGCTTGTTTTATCTGATATGTTTTCAATTATAGTTTTTATCTAGACATTTTAGTAGTTTATTTACATTGATTAAGGAACAATGTTCTTCCTAAGTTTTGCAAAATATGTGATTTGACTAAACTAAAAACTAGCATGATAAAAATGATATAACAAATACCCATTAATGGTTGAGAAGAACATTATTGGGAACTTGCCATCCACATCCCAACCCTTGCTTCTTCTGAAGTCTTTCATTCTGTCCAACCACAAATTGTTTTCCATGTTTGTTTGAATCAGGAAATGTCAGAAGCACTCCAAACATAAAATGTATTTACAGGGATTGATTTCTTGGAATCCAATTATTACTAAAATATTGTATTTTTGGAATTACATGCATTTATTGCCATTTACATTTTAAAGAAAGTAAGCAGTGCATAATTTATTTATACATATATATTTTTTTTTCAGTTGACATGGATGCTCCGGAGAAGAAGCAAATCAAGGGCATGTTTGAAAGGGGTTGTGGTGCAGTATGTCATAGTGATAATAAATCACCAATTTATAACATATTAAGTGGCAAAAAGATCAAGCAAAAAACTATGGCTAGTCTTATTAATCAGCAACTTATAACAAAAAGAACAAAATATGTTTGTGAAGATTGTGTCCAAAAAGTAGAAGGTTCTCTTAGTACAGGGAATACATCCGCCATTAACAATACTGTTAAGCACAAACCTAAATGTAAAGAAGTCAATATAACTGAAATCCAGGAACACATGCAGTCAGATATTATTAATCTATACAAGGATAGTAAAAAGTGTAGTTTAGAAAACTTAATTGCATATGATGCTGAGACTTGGCTGGATAACAGACCCAAATGTCTTGTTGGTCTGCTGCGTAAACTATGTGGCCTTGATAAAAAAGGTTCTTCTTCTATTGAATCATTACAAATTGCAAAACTGGTGGAAATAATGTATGGATGCCGTAACAAAAATCTCATTCTACCACTGTCTTTTCAGGAAAATTTACTTGTATATTCCATGTCAAGAAATAAGCAGTTGGTTGGCTTTAACTCAAGACTTTGTCCTGCAGGTAGTGAAAAGACAATATCTCGATGGATGACACAGCAGGCAGACTCGGAGGTGAAATATCCAGAAGGTCTTGTACGATCTGTCTTTGACAATGAACAGGTAGTGGGTAAGACATACCGTGTTAAGTCTGATAACAAGCTTCCTGCCAGTGTCATAACTAGCCATTTATATATTGTTATTGATGAAGAAAATTTGGTTCAGAATGAAGAAAAATATTCTCCAAGCAATTGGCTATTTTTGAAACCAACAAAAGTGCAGGAACAGTCGTATTTGTCTATGTACAATGATTCAGTCACCAAAACATTTCGAAAATCAAGAAATACACTTCTTTCTGATAGATTACTGAAAGTGAATGAAGAGAATGGCAATGATGATGTTGTTAATCTGTTCATTTCTGAAAAAGCTAGATGTGAAAATGAAAAAATCTGTGTTGACTGTGGAGGTGAAAATGAAAGGAACAGTCGCAAATGTACAAATTGTGGTGGCCTTTTAATTTTCCAGGCTATAAATTTTACAAAGTTTAAAAAAAAAGTATACCCCTACAACCATTTTAAATATGTTGAAGAAACTTCCAATTTATTTAAAGTAAAAACAGGTGAACCAGACTTATTGAATCCATCAAGTTTTCAAAATATTTCAGAAATACTATACAACTTGGCAGAGAGAGCTGGAATTTCTAAAAATGATGGACAACGGAAGTGGTTATTTCTTGAATGTGACGGGGGCATTTATTCTATTGTAGAAAAATTGATTTTCAATGTTTTTGTATGTTCCATCTGCCATGAAGCAATTTATGGAGAAATTCCTTTTAGAGAGCACAGATGTAGTATTCTCCATGATGTTGTTCCAGTCCATGAATTTGGCTGGGTGTTACCCATGCCTGGTCTTTTACACTTAGAAATGAATGCCTGTAAAGCTTTCTTTCAGTTAAACTGGGACATTTTTATGAAAGATGTATGTATCGAACTCGGATTTAAAACGCCAAAAGCTCAAGACTGTGCTAGGAAATGTTCGGATCACCATAAAACTTTTAAAATTTTAGAAATCCTGTACATTGCTATGGTTGATGAGCTCTTAGTGCCTTTTGTACAATTTTGTAAAACTCATTCTGTAGAGGCAACTTTAGACCAATATTGGATATGGAGTCAGGATGTTAAAAATGCTAACTATATGTATTGCCAACAAATGGCTTTAACCTTTTTGCATGCAATTATGGTATTTCGAGTGGGATGTAGGCGTGCTAATCCGTCATATATCATTGCAGGTCGTGAAAAAATGTCACTTTTGTTTTATTGTAGAAATCATCCACGTTATCAAAGAATAGTGGCCATTAATTCATACATTGAAGCAATGATGCCTGAAGATTTGAAAGACTTGATAATGAGATCATTCACTTTAAGCAGAACAGGTAATGTTGGGCATTATCAAGGTGGAGATGCATGCTTAGAGGAAATAAACAAGGAAGCCAAATCCTGGATTTCACCAGTGGGTGTTCCAACTGAAAAGGAGTGGGTGAAAACTTTCAGAAATCTTGATTCTCTAAGTGAAGTTAAACATAAACTGTTAAATTCTGCTACAGGTCAGTCAATTGAGAATAAAACCTGCAGTTATGAATACAGTATTGACTTACAAGAAATTGCTCCTGTGAGAGCTTTATTTAGAAGATACTTTGAACGACCATTGGAAGAAACTCCTCATACAAACTTAAGCGGTGATGTAAAGTTATCTGCTTATTTAGTAAACATAACTGCAGAATCAGAAGCTTTAAGAAGCCAGTATTACATGTGTCTTTTGTCTGGGGAGCAGCCAAAACTCCCACTAGTTTGTGTTACAGAGGATGAATTTCTTAACTCAAAAATGATTGAGAATCTTAGCAAAACTGAAATTCAAAAAAAAATTTATCAATTGCTTGAACAATTTTCAGACCGAGAAAGGCGTCTCTTGGAAGAAATTTTTGTAAAAACTGTCAAAGCCAAAAATAAAGCAGACTATATAGGATTTTATTACACTTTATTAGAGGAAAAAGAGTAAGGTTCTTGAGCACACCTACATGTACAGTGGAAAATAAGACAATACAAATTCATAAAACTTGAATTGTTTTATTTACATTTAAATCTAAAACATTTTTAAACAAATATGATGTCAACTAATGATGTAGATTGTCACATCTATTCTAATTTGAACAGACAGGCTTTAAATACACATGTTACTACAAATTTCATGTCTTAACAAGGGTAAAAGGTGTATTTCATTGTAGACTTATTGGAGTCTAACATATCTTTTGTACTATTGCAAATAAATAATTACTTGATAAATTTTGAAGTAATAAATATGGATTGACTAGATAAAAAACGAATTCATTTCATATGTAATTCATTGTAAAAAGCAACAATAACTAAACTGATAAGAACATATTTTGGATAATAATAGAATTTATATATAATATAAATTTGATAATAATAATATATATAATTTATATATTATATCTGAAATTTAATAATTTCTTATTGAAATCACATTACCAAAAGGACTGTCCCAAATTTGAAGTGAAGTGAATTCATTTTTACAAATGAACATTATGCCTCAGAAATCCATTTATATATAATTTATATACTTAGTAGTATAAATTTTTTTAGGAAATGTCAAACATGTGTTTAATAAAAGAATGTTTTGATAATAAATTTTGTGCACATTAGATGAAGATTGCATTGAATGTGAATAAATGTATCATAAAGGTAGGTAAAATGTAAACAAAGTAGTATTTAGACTTCCAAACGAAATACACATTCACTATGAAAAAATGTAAATCAAGAATTTCTGAGGCATAATGGGTCTTTAAGGATGGCATCCATGGAGCTTGATTGATGGAATCATTTTTCTTGCGCCAACATGAACATTGGCGCATATTGCATGGCCCCAGAATGCACATCCTTCAGCTTCACAACCCAACCAGACACCCTGAAGACCATTCTTTTTTCTGAAAGATTTGTCCTTAATTGAATTAAAAATCCTTTTACAGACGGCACATTTATTTACAGTTAGATCGGTGGTGTGAATTTCCTTCTCTTTCTTGCCAGGCATATTAACAATTTTTTTCACAAGCTTGGCTGGGGTTTTCTTTGGAGTGCCTGGATGGGTTGTAGGGAAGCTTGTTACTGCTCCAGCAGACTGACCAGCCTGTAACCCAACATGCCGAACTTTGATTGACGGAAAGCTTGCAGTAGTTAGGCGGCCACTTTCAGAGATGACTGAAAATTTAACCGAGGCACCACACATTGTGTTTAGTAGCTTAGCCTGGAAAGAAAATGAAGATATTTTAAACTTCTGTCATATACATGTATGTTCTTAGTATAGTGCAATTAAATTTTATTATTATATAATTGTTAATATCAATTTTTCAAACTTATTGCGAAAGAAATATATTGTCCTTCAGAATAGTCATTTGCTTATCTAACAACAAGGTCTCTTAAGGCAAGGGTAATGTTAGTATTCTGCCATGTCTTGATAATGATATTAACATATTAAATATTTTTCAATACAGTGTATATTAATAACATTTAAAAAAAAAAAAAAAATGCAGATCATTTCATGAGTAGACAGCAGTTGTTATAAAGATATAATTATTGATAATACACACAAGCAGTATTCATGTGTGTCTGTGTGTATATATATTTTCAATTTCATGTAATAAAAAGTGCATGAACAAGTTAATTATTGAAACACTAATGACAATAATCTGAAAAATAATATTTAATACTTATTTACAGATTTTTGGAATGTCTTGAGCCTTTTTGAAAAGGACTTCTGGCGAGCTCGCTTGTCACTAATGAAGTCCTCTCCAATTGGCCCCATATGATGGTTCTTTGATGTCTGAAAAAACATAATTTTCAGTAGCTCCAACCAATAACACTGTCAAATGTTGTGGAAGCCATTGTTTCCTTGAGCAAGAAACTTTACACTCATTGCTTAGTACTGATTGGTTCCAGGAACAGATTTGAGAGTGTTTCAAAAAGCTTACAGCTTCCAATACAATCAAACAAATATAAATTTGTATAAAATAAATGTTGTGTAATATCAAGCATGCCCATTAATTTATTACCTGTTAGAAAAACAATTTCCTTACAAAAGTTTAAACAAAATCATTTAACAGTTCATAGATAAAACTTTATAATTAATGCATGTTTGCAACAATTTTCATTGGATAATCATGATCGTTATATAGTTTTATATAAACAGCTGCTGTCATTTATTTAAGAAATCTCACTTTATGTCCAAAAAAAGAGATGTTTGCTGTTTTATAAATTTGTTTAATATATTCCTGACAGACTATATGACTGTATATAAACTCTTGTTTGCTGCTCGGGTTATATTTCCAAACAGCCGTTTATATAGGGCCATATAATCAGTCAAAAATCCTTATAACAAAAAAAATACATGAAAAGTCTAACCTCTGGCTCTCGGTCCTCAATTATAACAGCCTCAGGGGGTGAGGGTACTGTACCAAAGGATACCTCTGCGCCGATATCTAATGAGGTATCAGTTAAGAGTGAGGCTTGAGATAACTGAAATATGATAATTATTGATTATAGAAATCATAGTTGCGAAGAGTGTACTGTCCTCAACATTAACTTTTAATGTTGTGAATGAGATTTGTTTTATTTAAAGATAGACCCTACCAGAAATATAGTCATAATATTGAGAAAAAGTCATTAACCACATATAACATGTTAATTATTACTTGAATCTTTAATAGTTTTACTTTCCTAAAGTCTAAGTAATATTTTATGAAGTTTGATTTTATTGAAATATTTTGGATTATCTTGAGGCATGTAGCTTTAAAATGTACCTCTTTACTTGATGCATAAATATGCTCATTTATATGCTCATTTTCTGCTGTGACATGAGAGATACCTGAAGCAAAACAAACACATTATACAATTAATTTTTAATGTTAAATGGCAAAAATTGAGTTTTATATATATTTCTGGTGACAAAGATAATGTTTTGCATGCATTGTCTCCCTTTCGGGAGACGATGATGACAATGACTTTACACTCGATTCTGTTCACGTATTAATATCAAAACAAAATGGCGGACTATTTGTGGATCTGTGCAATGGAATAAAAAAAGGTAAGTTTTTACCTTACTGCTTGCTTGGTTTGTTATGTTACTACGTAGAATTTAAGAAATTGTAAAAGTTTCATGTTTAGCAGCACTTAACTCGAAAATTACACGATAAAATTACCTGAATCCTCGGAAAAGTCCATTTTGTTTTGAATTTGGCGGTATGAAAACTTTAAAAGAACGCGCGCAAAGACCGTATAAAGTGCGCAGGAATCGTCTAAAATTACTACTGTGTTAATTCAAGTGTTTTGTCTAAGAATCGGGTGAATGTCTCCCGATTGGGGGGTTACTGATGTAATTCTGAAACCATGAATATTTCTCCTAAACGGGAGACAGTCTCCCGATTGAGAGACTGTCTCCATTCTGGTGAATGTTGCTTAACTGGTAACGGTTTGACAGTAATAAAAAAAAGTCTGTAAAATGGGTCAAACCGTTCACGCCAAATTAATTAGGCTACTTGGTAAAAGACTTGATTAAAGACTCAAAATAACATATATATGCATTTTCGACTTTCGTATATACAATGTAGGCTAGCCACACTTCCTTCAACATAATTGAGCATCGGTACTCCGGACGGGCAGATCAGGAGAGAGGACTCAATCCAAATGGAACTCAGCTGATTTGAAACCATCTACTCTACTGTCTTAGCTTTCGCAACACTATCACTCAATTTATTCCAATCGACAATTTTTCTTTGGAAAAATCATGAATCGTAACTTAAGTTTTTACATTGCACATTTAGAGTGATTTATTATCTGGTTTTCAATAATGTTATTTGTGTCACAATTCTCAAAAATCTTATTCTTAGCTAATTTACTCTGCGTTTATTTAATCAAACAGGTGTCAAGTAGTCTCGGCAAGGTGTTATATATACTCCTGGTTTGTTTGTCTGGTATGGTTTCTAGTCTCAATATTTCAACTGATTTTATAATCTGATATATCGTCGGGTTAATTCTACAACCCCGTAACTCGATTTTTGGCAAAATTGAGATTTTTATATCATTTTTTTCGTCTCAATGAGCTCTTCACAGTGAACATACTTATGTAGTTGTAGAACTTACATAAATATGTTTATTTCCAATTCCACAAACCCGTAACTCGCTATTTACATCAAACTTTAATTCTAGACTCCAGTAACTTCTCGTCCAATCAAACATTCTGATTTTGTACCACGTGATACATGACACGTCTGTAATGGCTGCCTACTTTATCACAACCAAATATTTGAAAAAACCTTTAGTGATTTATTTAAAGATAATTATAGTATACTACCTGACTGTAATATACATATATTGATGATTTAGTTTTTAAAGCTCTAACATCATTTTGAATTATATAGTAAATGTCTTAAATAGATACATATGTAAACACTACATTTATTCGGATGATTACCATTTCGGACAGCCTCGATGAGTACTATAACTTTTTTGTTTCCGAAAGCTTCTTATTTTTAAGTTTTTAAGTTTTTACACTTTTTGAAAGGGTACTCATTGGCTATATAGCTAAACCCTTTTTTCCATTTGCATTTTGATCACCCATGAAGTTATAGTTATTAGATATTCTTGAATGGAAGACAAACTAACACTTTGTTTACATCTAGATGCTATAAGGACAAATTGTTTCAGATTCAACGCTGTTTTCTAAAGTACGAAAAGCATCTACTTGATGTACACTCTAAATAAAAAAATTGAAACATTAAAGCAACATAGGCATGTGACAGAAACGCATCGTCGGATACCCACGGTTGTTAAACATGTAACAGAACAAGTGCATACTTTTTGAAAAATTGATGTAGATATCATTTGATAGTAGCATTGATTTTCAAACAGACGTGTAATATATAACACAGTAGGAGAAGTTAATGATATTTTCGACTTGAATTGTTGCTATGTTTCTAGCCGAAAATTATTACACTTGGTCAATTTTGCTTCAAATAATTCACTTAGAACCCCGTATGTCGCTTTAATGGTATAGAAATGACCTGAATGTTTTGCCAACAACCCAGTATCTCCCGAATGGGGTTTTAGAATTCAGAATATGTATGTGTTTTCTTATTTTTTATGAAAAATTGAAATAAATTATTTGAGATTTTAGCTTTAAAATTGTATGCACATAAATAAAATTCGGTATATATGTATAACATACTGATTTCTAAATTCACTGAAAATTTTATCTTTATACGGTTTATCATTAAAAAGTTATTACAGTTCAAAGTTTCAATTGCGATTTTCTAAAAATGACAAAAAATGACATACGGGTTTGTAGTATTAAGCCAACGATATATGCTAGTTTGGTTTCATGGGTCTTCTCCATTTGGATTAAAGTCTTTGCAGAAATCAACAAAATGATTAAATTATTTGTATTTTATAATTTGAAATGAAGAATTATATAATTAAGGTTATATAATATATATATACTCCTGGTTTGTTTGTTACTCTGGTATGGTTTCTAGTCTCAATATTGCAAGACTGACTGATTTTATAATCTGATATGCTAGTATAGTCTTTGCAGAAGTCAATAAATGATTACATTATTTGTATTTAATAAATTTGAAATGAAGTATTATTTCCATTGCAGTTGTGTCACCACCCTATTTAATGTATATGGGTCTAGACAAAAATGAAAGTAAGTTTAAATATAGTTAAAGTCTTTATTTTTAAGTTGTCTTATATGTACAGTTATGTGTATATATGTTAATATTAATAATTAAAGATAGAAAAATTTTACATTAAATATTAAAAAAAAAAATTTAACAACATGAACATTGTTTCCAACTGATAGTTAAACAATAAACATATACTTTCTTTGTTATCATTGTATAAGGTATAATTAAGAGTATTTTAAACTTCTAAAAACACATTTTAGAAATGAAAAACGAAAAAATAATATCAGTAGCTCTATATCTTCTGGCATACATTGGAATAAAAAATAATGAAGACAAAATGCTTGATTTGACCTGTTGACCAAAATAAAAAAAGAAATTGGTGAAGTTGAATGTTGTAAGGGACTCCTATTTTCACCAACAAGATCTGTAATCTTTTGTATTTTCTTTCAGATGAAGATTTGATACGTTGGGGATTTCCAGAAGATGTTTGGTAAAATTCATTTTAAATTTACATCAAATTAAAAAGACATGCTTCATCTATTGATTTTCCACATTCTAATTTTATATTGTGTTAAATTGAATGCTAATTTAACTGTACATTAACAATATTTTCTTACTCAATTTTCTTAACCACTTTAAAGGAAGATGAAAATATTACGATTGGTAAATTACCTACTTCAGCTTACATGTAATTCCTATGTTGAAAACGTTTGAAAATTTTAAGAATTGGCCGCTCTTGCTGGCGTAGTGGAAAAGGAATCTGCATATTAACCCAGGGTTCATGGGTTCAATCCCTACATAATCATCTTTCAGGGATATGTCTTATGATATTGTACATGTAGTTACCAATGAATTTAACTTACTACAGTGTTGGAGCAGTACCTCTAGATGCTTGCAGAAATCATTTAATTTATCACAAATAAGAAAAATGTGGCTTTTTTCACAGATTCTTGCATTTTTAATATACGATCGTATATGAATCAGTTTGAAGAGATGAATTCTCTTTAAGTGCCTTTCGGCAGATGATTAGGCAAGATTTTAGCATTTAATCATTCAATCGCCTTGTCGGGACGAGGTATATACCGGAATATGGTATTTTGTGTGGTGCACCATCACTTTTCTTTTAGTCCACTCATTATCAATTTAGTTGTCAGACTGCATGAGAAGCAGACTGGCCTTACTCTTTACTGATGGCATAGGAAGTTGATTTGTAAGCCTTTAAGCTCTGATATGTAAGATATATTTATTTCGATTTTCAGGTTTCATGTTGACAAAGTATCATCTGCTCATGTATATCTTAGATTACATGCTGTAAGTTGGTTTCTCTTTTCATTAATGCAAAACTATTAAATTAAATTTATTTTACAGAAGGTTGCTTTCTTTTTTTGTCAAAAAAGAAATAGATATGTAGATTGTAAATACTTTTATTTATTATAAACCTGTACAAATCTAAGAAACCCATTATGCTTAAGAAATTCTTTTATACATATTTTTATTTCTCAAAAGCTCATTAATATTGATGTAGTGTACTTTTATAGTATCCACAAAGTTACTAATTGGCAAATTGGTATTTTGTATGGAAGTAAAAATACTACTTTGTTTACATTTTATTACTTTTATGACAAAGAATTTTCTTCAGGCAACAAGCATCTGACATTCTCTAACACCATTATTTAATCATTATAAAATTCATGTTTGCCCTTTCAAAAGAAGTAAAAAAAATTTCTTTCTGAGGCATAATGTGCCTTTAAGTTTCAGAATTTTCAGACTCCCAAATTATCCTCAGATTGAAGAAATGTTAAATAAAGGATTTTCAGGAATCTTCTTTTCTAGATTTGCAAATTTTCACCTATGCTTATATGTTTTCCAGGGTGAATCTTTAGATGATGTACCTCAAATTGTGATAGATGAATGTGCTCAACTTGTCAAAGCAAACAGTATACAAGGTATGATATATCAGCAATATCATCAACTTAGTGCAATAACTTCTATTAAATTTTGAAGGACTTAACCCATTACTGCACTAAGGATGGACTATACACATGGGAATGAATAATAAAACTTTTTAGTTCATAATGTGACTTTCTTGCGCTCCTGGTGGAAGGAGACCTCAGTAGCCCATATCAATCTCATTAGAATCAGATCATCGTTTTAGCTCTGTAACTCTTCGCTACAAACAGAAGGTTAGTGGGTCGACAGTTAGGATATGATTTTAAAGAGATTGGAGCCCATCTGTGCATTATTTCACCTTTATAGAACCACCAACTACTGTTTGTCTCACCAGGCTCTATACTGCTAGTATATGCAGCTTGATTGTTGTATTTTAATATTGACACCTTAAAATTGAGTGATCCAAAACTCTTAACATGGTCAATGCCTATGGTAGAGATTTTCAAATTTGAATATCAGTAATGCATGATATGAGTTTGTTTGGTTTTTTACGCAAATATCACATTTGTGGTAATATCCCTGCAGTTGGTTCACCTACCATATTTTCTGAAAACTAACCAGTTATTACCGATTTCTTTGCAAAAAGACAGACTACATATCCCAGATTTTTTCTGAATCAGCGGTGAAAGACAAATGACCATTAGACTCGGTGTCCAAGATCAATTGTTAAGTATGGTGGTATAGGGCTATATTACAGTGTAAGATATTCGGATTTGAATCCACTAGGCCTTTCAGACTACCAGATTTGAATATTCACTAGCCCAAAAGATATTTCACTAGCATGATTCATTTATTCAAAACAGTTGTTTATAGTGCCTCTGAAAATGCAGAAGCCTGGCCGGGCTTGTTACTTTAACCCATTACGCGATATACACGCCTTTAAACGCCTTTTTCACCCCCCTTTTTTGTTGTCTCTAATGGTGAAAAAATGCCTTATTTAGGCCCTCAACACTTGTTTTTGTTTGAGAAATGTTGTTAAAAAAAGTGACCACTTTTTCGGCACGGCCCTCCAACCAAAAGATACATCAGGGGGTTGCCAGAAGGGGGATATGCCCCCTTCTGTTTGGGGAGTTTGAAGGGGGGCAGAGTCCCCCTCATCGCCAAGAAAATTTTGGACTTGTGAGAGGCTATAAATGACCCCAGATTGATCATAAGGTAACGTGTAACCAACGCTGAAAAGCATTTGACTCTATCTCAATCCATTGAGAAGTTGCAGCACTTTAAAATCAATTTTGATGGAAAAAATCAATGCAAAATAGTGATTTTTGGCAATTTTGAGATGTCCCCTCATTGCCATGGTAACAGAAAATTTAAGCCTGAGCATGTTGTTTCAAGGGCAATGGTCCAGTCAACATTTGTGCCAAGTTTGATTAGTGTTGAAGCAGTTTTTATAGTATTATAGCAATTTGAACTTGTAACGGGAGACTTTTCAATGAAAACAGCCATTTTTCACAAAATGCTCATGAAGTAATGGGTTAAAAAGTTGTTAGCCCAGGGAGAAATTTAGTAGTCAGGGGCTATCAGACTACTGCTAATTTCGAACAATGCTATATACATGTTTGTCACATACCTGTGCAGCTTTTGTGACTTCGTAAAAACTGTATGCAACGGTTGTGCATATATTTTGACGTGACATCATTTGCATTATACAAAAATAGCCTAAAGATGTGCTAAATGTTTGCCTTACGCTATAGGCACATCAATTACAAAACAGGATTATTTTCACTGTTAAAAGTTCTTATGTTGATTATGTAATAAATAGAATATTATATTTGTGTAGATTCAATACTTATTTTATTGAACTCGGTGAAGAAAATTATAATATACAAATCATTCAATAAGTTCAGTATTGAATCTATATACTCATTTAATATGCTCTGTATATAATATACAGGTAACAAGATGAACAATGTAGATGTAGTATACACAATGTGGGATAATCTCAAGAAAACAGCTGGCATGGATGTAGGACAAGTTGGTTTCCATAAAAACAAAGAAGTAAGATTTTCTTTGTCATTAATGCAATTTTCTCTTTATCGTAATCTAAATAGATGTTTTACACATAGCAATTATTACCTCCCCTTTATTTTTGTACATTAATCTTTGTTCTCCCTTTCCTCATCATAATTTTCATTTATCTTGAAATTTTATGTTTTTTGAGGCACATCATGCCTCAGAAATAAATAAATTTTTACTTCCGTAGAAAAGGCAAACATGAATTTTATGTTTAGATAATGGTTTATGAGAAATGTTATGTTAGTTACTTAAAAAAGTAGCGATAAATGCGTAACAATTTGCCATAAAAATAGCAAAATGTAGTATTTTGACTTCCATATAAAATTCTAATTAACTTACTGTACTTATTGCAAAACAAGCAACAGATCAAAAAGATGGCTCTGGTAATTGGCCAATTAGTAATTTCTGAGACATAATGGGCCTTTAAGTAAGATTAAAAATTGACATGTTATGAATTGACATTTTCTTTACCAGGTAAGAAAAGTTAGAGTAGAAAAAAGAATAAATGAAATAGTAAATAGACTTAATAAAACAAAAGAAGAAAAATTTCCCGATCTCCGAACGTTACGAGAGGATAGAGACCGCGAGGAACGGGAAGATCAGAGACATAAATTACAAGACCAGAAAAAACGGGAAAAGGAAGAAATGGAGAGAAAAGAAAAAGAAAGAGAACAAAGGTAAGAATTGTTTTGTACATTGTTTGAATAATGTTAATTTTCTTAGGTTGATGTGAATATGACGGCCTTTGCCTTGGCCATTCAGGTGCTTTCTTTGGATATGACGTCATAAAGTGACCTGGAATCTTACAAAATTGCGGACATGGTGACCAGACAATGTGATTAATCAAAAACAGTTGTTGTGGTGTTTAGTCCAGCTTCTTTTTTAAGAACTGTCATTTTTTACATTATTAAAAGTTAGACAACCAAGAGTTAGTATGAAAGAGCCTGGTCTGTTTGCACAGAAATGCGCTGTTCTGTACTGGAGTCAAACACAAGTTATTAAAGGTTCCAGCAGAAAACGGGATAAATATGGTGCCTCTTGTTGTTCTGAACTTTTGTTTTATAATGTTTTTATAGGTTAAAGCAGCCTTCAGCTTTTATTTTTTGTTGGAAAAACAATTCTGTGCTGTTTCAAACTAAGTATTTCCAGTAATATTATCTAGGAAAAGTGTATCATATCACTGTAAAGCCTTCTTCAAAATAGCGCCCTAGAGCTGTTTAAAGCGTGCAGTGATGTTAGTTTTTAAAAATAGAAGATTGGGAAACAAATTGTCTGCTTTACTAATTTACATACAGAGTGTGACCAGTAGTTTAGAGGGGTTATTGAGGGGTTTCCTTATTGTATATGTATTAAATCAGTAACAAGTTGCATTTTATAAAATTTATACCTTAATTCTTTTGATTTGGCAATATCTAAAACTATTTAGAAAAACTGAAGGTCGCTTTAATAAAAAATTTTTTTTTGATGAATATGAGATTTTTTTTCTCAGTACATTATATGCTTTTGTATATTTACAGGTATATCTGAATTTTGTTATATTTAGGTATACAGAACACTTGTTGATATAACTTTGGGGTTTATATATTTTGACTTCAATGTAAACATTTCATCATACACAGTTTACTTATCGTTTTAGATCCTACTCAAATTTGATGACAGAGGATAGAATGACTTCTAATAAGGTATTTGTTATATTTGTAATTTTTCTTTAAGCTTTATAATTAATTGGTACAGCTTCACACCTTCAGTGTCAGGCTAGTTTTAGATAATTTAAATAGTTTTATAATTGAAACTTTGTATCTGTAAAGTGAGTTAATTCAGCCAAAGTAACTAAAAATTTCCAAATTTACAAAAGACGAGTCAAAATAGCCCTTACTCAGCAACGGGGTAGAAAATAAGTTACCAACGTTTCAGTCTTATCATGCATACAACACAAAAATTACATGAAAATCATGACATGGATTGAGAATAGTTGTACAATTTCTGAAGATATGAAAAGTGTTCTTTGTTTTTTAATTTGTATACAAAAGTGTTTGAAGTGCTGCATAGTTTGGTAGGGTGCTCTCAAATTTCACTTTAAATTGATTATTGTGTTATACAAATAAAATTTTTCATTTCAGGATGGCGGAAATGATTCGGACGATTTTATGTAATATACATGTTGACTGTGATACCATCATATCCTGTATGTTAACAGACTGTCTATCTTTCTTAAACTTAAAAAACATAAACCAGTCTGTGTAGACCAGTCACAATAAATTTTTTGCCAGCAGAAGTTGTGAATATGAGCATTCATATAATAAATTATTTGAAGAAGAATTTACACTCATTTTGATTCAAACACAAGTCTTCAAAGATCTAACATGTAGAATATATTGAAAGATTGTACATGTATTACTAAATCAATTTCTTAATGTAGTGAGGAGGTTGGTTACATTTTGCTGAATATTTTACAAACAAGCATGCAGGTGCTACACACACACACACCTGTTAGTAAATGAATAAACTAGAAATGTCTTAGTCAATATAAAAGTATATAACTTGTCAATGAAAACTAGTTATATAAATCATATTATGTGTATTGGTGATTAAAGGGGCCTTCAGCTTTTGTTATTTGTTTGAAAAAGTATTTCTGTATGTGTTGTTTCAAACCAAAAGTATTTTAATCTTGGAATAGGGGATCATATCATTGTTAGGCCTTCTACAAAACGGCGTCCAGAGAGCTATTTATAGGGCACCAGTGATGTTTGTTGCTAAAAATAGAAGATTGAGAAACAAATCATCTGCTTTACTTGATTTACATAATTATAGAGAGTGGAAATTTCAAGCTCAAAAAAGTTTCCTTATTGTTTATTACTTTATCAGAGGCAAATTATATTTTATCTCTTATCTTTTTATTTGACAATTATATGAAATTATTAATCTAAAAATAACATTTAACCATTAGAAAAGCTGAAGGCCGCTTTAACGAAGCTTTATTTTATCATTCATATTCTGAATTGCGGAGCCAACTTGTGTGTATATGATACATAGAAATGTAATTATGTATTTGTGATAAGTTAGCAAAATATGTGCAATTTTTAAGATCTTTGGATGTTGTTTTTTTATGAGACACAAGTGTAATTTGTATATAATGTGGAAATAACAAGCTCAAAGTGTGAAAACAGCAACTTTTTAGAAACTATTGCCATAAACTTTTGTAAATCGTTAAATGTAAATGAATAAAACTATAAAATTCTTATTTGTTTATTTTGTATATTAATCACTAACATTTTTACATTATAGTAAATATTGTAGTTTTCCCATAATTCTTGTATGTCAAAGGGAGGTAATTCATGAGTTACTGTAGCTAGTTACTAATTTGTCTGCTCAAAATTTGTCAAAGGGAGGTAAATGGTGGGTTTAAGTAACTGATTACAATATGGTCTGCACTTCTCAAAGGGAGATAATTGATGGGGTACGGAACATATTAGTCTAACAGATTCTTTTTATGTCAAAGTAAGGTAGCTGATACGTTTAACTAGTGGACTGTTTTATAATCTGCTCGGGAGCCTTATTTATCATAAGAGATAATCTTTGTATTAAGGAACTCCACTAGCCTGAAAACATAAATTTCTTACACAGGTCAGTTGGGGCATTTTAAACAGAAATATATGCAAAAGATAGTTAAGAACTGTACTCAGAAATAAATTTTGGGTAATTGTTTTCACAATTAGAAAAATAATTCTGGAAAAACAGAAGAAGCAATGATCTGAAATTTTGCACAACAGTTATTGGATCTATATCTTCATTAATTGGAACATGAATCTCGAAAAAAATCAGTCTTGTCTGGTCAAAAACCTCAGTGAGTGGAGTCAAAGTAGGGAGGTAACTGCTATAAAGTAGATTGTATGTAAAAGGGAGGTAACTGTGAGATCATTGCCATATATTTTGCTCGTAATTCTTGTATGTCAAAGGGAGGTAACTCAAAGGTTAGTGAATAATATAGCATATTCTTGAACCATTTGTTTATAATACCCGAAGAACAAAGGGAGGTTATCCATTGACATGCACAATGATCACAAGGTTTTGGATGTACGTTCTGCTATAACAGCAAGTGATAGATCCCTGCTCTGACCTTTCCTTTGAATAATAGATTTAACCGCAAACATTGACATGTGCTCTTTGTTAACACGTATGTTGTGAAATACTTAATTGTATCCACTAATCTGATAATTAAAATTAGACAGGTCAGAGCTCTTTGCATTAAAACCGATATAGCATTATTATGAAAACTTGTCAGTATTGTGTAACAGTGATTTTTTTTTCTTTTTATCCCCCGCCGATGGAATCGGGAGGGGGATATAGTTTTGGCATTGTCCATCCGTCCGAATTTCGTTTCTGGAGTAGTTCTCTGCAACTACTGGCTGGAATTCAAAGAAACTTTATGGGAATCATCAATATCAAGAGGAGATGCGCATATCGTCGGCTTGTTCCAGTCCGACCCTTTTACTCAGAGTTATGGCCCTTGATTAGTTATGTAGTATGCATATAGAATAAAAATCGTTTCAACACTACTTCTCTGCAACTACTGGCTGGAATTCAACAAAACTTTATGGGAATCATCAATATCAAGAGGAGATGCGCATATTGTCGGCTTGTTCCGGTCAGACACTAACTCAGAGTTATGGCCCTTGATTAGTTATGTAGTATGCATATAGAGTAAAAATCGTTTCTGCACTACTTCTCTGCAACTACTGGCTGGAATTCAATGAAACTTTATGGGAACCTTCAATACCAAGAGGAGATGTGCATATTGTCGGCTTGTTCCGGTCAGACACTTTAACTCAGAGTTATGGCCCTTGATTAGTTATGCAGTATCCATATAGAAAAATATTTGTTCTCGCTACTTCTCTGCTACTACTGGCTGGAATTCAATGAAACTTTATGGGATACTAAGAGGAGATGTGCATATAGCCGCCTTGTTCCAGTCAGATACTTATAACTCAGATTTATGGCCCTTGATTAGTTATGTAGTATGCATACATCTCATTGGCATTTCCAGATTTTACTATTTAACACAAAGTTATGGCTCTGTTATTGCCCTGAATATTTATCAAGTTCAAAGAATATTACTGTTTATGCCATGATTAATATATAAATAAAGCCTTATGTCTTCAGTTGTTGTGTTAATAATAACCAGTACTCGGCGGGGGATAAAAATTCAACGAATTTGCTTGTTTTACTTTTTTTTTCTCTTTTATTTTTTGTGTAACAGTGATTTGCATTTGAAATAAGAACAACACAAGAAGTAGTTTTTGTATCTGTATTGTTTATATTGTACATACTGGGGAAATTCGATCTGAAAACGGCTCCACCCAATTTTTAACTGTCACTTTCAAATTTCAAAATACTGGTACATGAAAAATGACATCATCTACACTGTATGGTCTTTTCAGTATCAATTCTAAATAATTTTGCACCACATACTGAATTGTTTCAGGAGAATGATTATAATACTGATTGAGTAGATTAGAATTCCAGCATCTCCTCTTCTGCCACTAGAGCCTCGTTTGTATATTTACCTGTAAACAAAAGAGATATTGACAATAGATGCTATCTAGAATTTGGCAAATGTGGGTTTTTCCGAGCTAATCTGTAGGTACAAACAAACTTTTACCATTATGGCTTCATGGTGCACTTACCAGTCACAATAGCTTAGTCAACCTGAAGCTGTAACTATAAAAAGTTTGCTTGTACCTACCGATTAGCTGAGCTGGGAGAATCCCAAATATTTTTATTCCTAAGTTAGTCTTTATAAAATTATCTGAATAGGAAATTAAGGAAAATCTATATAACTTTTTTCTTGATGATATAATTATATAATTTTGTGTGTTTTTAGCTCACCTGTCACAAAGTGACAGGGTGAGCTTTTGTGATCGCTTTTCGTCCGGCGTCCGTCCGGCGTCCGTAAACTTTTTCTTTAAATGACATCTCCTCATAAACCGCTGAGCCAATTTCATCCAAACTTCACAGGAATGTTCCTTTGGTGATCACCTTTAATAATTGTTCAAAGAATTTAATTCCATGCAGAACTCTGGTTGCCATGGCAACCGATAGCAAAAACTTAAAATATCTTCTTTTAAAAAACCCAAAGAGGTAGAGCTTAGATATTTGGCATGAAACATCTTCTAGTGAGTGTCTATCAAGTTTGTTCAAATAAAAGCCCTGGGGTCAAAATTGGCCCCGCCACAGGGGGTCATTGATTTTCCCTATATGCATATAGTAAAAACTTATAAAATCTTCTTTTAAAGAACCCAAAGAGCTAGAGCTAAGATATTTAGCATGAAACAAGTTCTAATGGGTGTCTACCAAGTTTGTTCAAATAAAAGCCCTAGGGTCAAAATGGCCTCCCCCAGGGGGTCATTGATTTTCCCTATATGCATATAGTAAAAACTTATAAAATCTTCTTTTAAAGAACCCAAAGAGCTAGAGCTAAGATATTTAGCATGAAACATCTTCTAATAAGTGTCTATCAAGTTTGTTCAAATAAAAGCCCTGGGGTCAAAATTGGCCCCGCCCCAGGGGGTCATTGATTTTCCCTATATGCATATAGTAAAAACTTAATAAAATCTTCTTTTAAAGAACCCATAGAGCTAGAGCTTAGATATTTAGCATGAAACATCTTATGATGGGTGTCTACCAAGTTTGTTCAAATAAAAGCCCTGGGGTCAAAATTGGCCCCGTCCCGGGGGTCATTGATTTCTCTTATATGTGTATAGCAAAAACGTAAAAAATCTTCTTTGAAAAAAAACAAATAGCTAGAGTTTAGATACTAAGCATGAAACATCTTCTAGTGAGTCTCTACCAAGTTTGTTAAAAAAAAAAGCCCTGGGGTCAAAATTGGCCCCGCCCCGGGGACATTCATTTTCCTTATTTGTGTATAGCAAAAACTTAAAAAATCTTCTTTGAAGAAACTCAAATAGCTAGAGTTTAGATATTAAGCACGAAGCATCTTCTAGTGAGTGTCTACAAAGTTTGTTCAAATAAAAGCCCTGGGGTCAAAATTGGGCCCGCCCCAGGGTAAATTGATTTTCCTTATATGTGTATAGCAAAAACTTAAAAATTCTTTGAAAAAACCCAAATAGCTAGTTTAGATATTAAGCAGGAAACATTTTCTAGTAAGTGTCTACAAAGATTGTTCAAATAAAAGCCCTGGGGTCAAAATTGGCCCTGCCCCAGGTGTGTCACTGTTTTTAACTAAATGTGTAAAGAAATAACTTGACCAGCTAGACCTTAGATGTTTAGCATGAAACATCTTCTAATGGGTGTCTACCAAGTTTGTTCAAATAAAAGCCCTGGGGTTTAAACTGGCCCACTTCAGGGGCCTATATACAGGTGAGCGACTTCAGGGCCATCATGGCCCTCTTGTTTTCTTTTTGTATGCTTTTTAAGTCTCATAGACCCTTTTCAGATAAAATGGCAATTTTTCAGCCCTCCTGGTAGGGTTAAACCTTTGGTGCCCTTTTGTGCAATATTTCAGGCCAGTAAAGATACCAAATATTTAAATTTCCATAAGGAAGAAAATGGTGACCCTCAGTATATCATTTAAGACTAAAATTGAAAAGTGGAAAAACCACAAATATAACATACGCTAAAGGCAAAACTCCCACATTTGAATTGATTTATTATGGGTATATCATATGTTACAATGTAAGGATCATATGGTGATTCCCTAGCTTTACTGGTGGAGGAAGACATTCTGTGTCTGTTGTGTTCCTCTGTAGACTATTTCTGTTATGAGCAAGCATCTGATTAGAACCAACAACCTTCCATAAGCTATCTATATAACTTTCTCATGTGGAATAATTCATAGTTCCTACTGGAATTCAAACCTACAGTGGTAACTGGTAAGGGGCAATAGATTTGAAGACGGCAACCATAACCACTCGGCCACGGAGACCCATTCCTCGAAACAAAACAAGTTCAATACTGTAATCCTAGTGAAATTCATAACCAGAGAGTTGCAGGGATCTTAATCACTCTGCTATAGATGCCTAAAACCTCCCTTATGTCATTTTAAACACATTTTTACAAAACAGGCTATAATAAATAAATTATTGAATTTTACTTACTGTTAGCACCAATGTTTTGTCCACTACCAACAATACAGTCCTTCAGTTCACACTTCTCACCAATGTGAGCATTGGCCGCAATAACACTACCTTGTATACTACACCTGTTTGATAATAGAAAAATAAATTTTTGAAAATATATTAACAATATGACTATCAGAACAATTTTATCAAATATTAACTTTGAAAAATGGGTCAAAGACAGAAAAGGCCGGGTTGCATATGTATACAAAATATCATGAGGCTGTGATGTTACTTAAATTTTCTACCACTGTCTTGACCATTGATGTTGAAAATTCAACTTAGTTGGTAAACAGAAAAAGAATGAGCATCAGACCTGAAATGGAATCCCACAATATGGGACCACATGTCAATGCTGTGAACCACATATCAAGAAGCTGTGGTAAGTAGTTGCTGACAAAAACTGTTATGAAAATTTTCTACTATCTATTGATCATTAATTATGTCAAAATTTAACTAAGTCAGCAAACAGGAAGTGGATGAGCAACAGACCTGAAATCGAATCCCACTGTATGGGACCAAGTGATAATGCTGTATATCAAATATCAAAAGGCTTTGATAAGTAGTTGCCAAGAAAACTGTTACGAAAATTTCCTACCATTGACCATCAATGTAGAAAATTTAACTAAGTCGGCAAACAGGAAGTGGATTAGCGACAGACCTGAAATGGAATCCCACAGTATGGGACCATATGTTATTGCTGTATGCCAAATATCAAGAGGCTGTGATAAGTAGTTGCTGAGGAAACTGTTACGAAAATTTCCTACCATTGAGCATTAGTGTAGAAAACTTAACTAAGTCAGTAAACAGGAAGTGGATGAGCGACAGACCTGAAATCGAATCCCACAGTATGGGATCATGTGTTGATGCTGTATACCAAATATCAAGAGGCTGTGATAAGTAGTTGCTGAGAAAACTGTTACGAAAATTTCCTACTATGGACCATTAATGCAGAAAATTTAACTAGGTCAGCAAACAGGAAGTAGATAAGCGACAGACCTGAAATCGAATCCCACAGTATGTGACCATGTGTTGATGCTGTATACCAAATATCAAAAGGCTGTGATAAGTAGTTGCTGAGAAAACTGTTACGAAAATTTCCTACTATTGACCAGCATTAAACGAAAATTTCCTACTATTGACCATTAATGCTGAAAATTTAACTAGGTCAGCAAACAGGAAGTAGATGAGCGACAGACCTGAAATCGAATCCCACGGTATGGGACCATGTGTTGATTCTGTATACCAAATATCAAGAGGCTGTGAGAAGTAGTTGCTGAGAAAACTGTTACGAAAATTTCGTTCTATTGACCATTAATGCTGAAAATTTAACTAGGTCGGCAAACAGGAAGTAGATGAGCGACAGACCTGAAATTGAATCCCACAGTATGGGACCATGCTTTGATGCTGTATACTAAATATCAAAAGGCTGTGATAAGTAGTTGCTGAGAAAACTGTTACGAAAGTTTTTTCCCTGCCCGCAGCCCAACATTCACCATACTATAACCCGGGTTTGCACCAGTGCAACCCGGCCAAAAATGAACTACGTAATAAAAACTTATACCCCATCCAGTCAACTTACTCTTCTAAGACTTAACCGTCTGAAATTTATCATACAAGAAAATTGAGCCGTCCCATGACAAAACCAACATAGTGTGTTTGTGACCAGCATAGATCCAGACCAGCCTGAGTATCCGCACAGTCTGATCAAAATCCATGCTGTTCGCTTACAAGCCCTTTTACAAGTAGGGAAACCAATAGCAAACAGCATGGATTCTAACCAGACTGCGCGGATGCAGCATGGATTCTAACCAGACTGCGCGGATGCGCATAATTCTAACCAGACTGCGCGGATGCGCAGGCTGGTCTGGATCCATGCTGGTCGCAAAGAACTATTTTGGTTTTGTCATGGCATGGCTCAAATGTATTTCTAATCTGATGAAGAAATTTTACAAATGAAATTTAGTTTTTGGTACAAAGTCAATTTATAAAATTGATTACTTATGAAACTTTGGTCGAAATCCCTAAGATTATGTACAGTACAAGTGGTTAAGTTAGTGACATGGAAATATTGGTGATTTGACTAAAATTGCTAAAATTTCCTCTAGCCTAAAAATCAAAATATTTACTCACGAGAAATATCTGGAATTTTAAAATCAACTTTTCAACACACAGAAATACCCACTTATATAGTTATACTTAGGATTGGTGCATAAGCCTGTCTACATTTAGTTATTATTGAATAACCAAATTTTGCTATCAGAAAATCTAGTTAAAAGTTATCCCTTCATGTAGATCATAGAAAATACAAAGACATAATATTAATGCTAGTAGATCATTTCCTTACCCTTCACCAATATGAGTATGATCCATGAGAACAGAGTTAGTTATTTTCACTTTATCACCTACAGTACAATGTCTACCAACCACTGAACGTTTCACAGACACCTTCTCTCCAACAATAGCACTTTCCCCGACTAGACAATCAGTACCAATCTGAGGAGAGAAATAAAATTTATTGATCTTGCTAGAGGTTCACTACATAATGTTTCATGCAAAATATCTTAACTCTAGCCTTTGTAAGTTTAGAGAAGATGATTTTTTAAGTTTTTACTATATACATATAAGGAAAACCTATGGCCCACGGGGCGGGGCTAATTTTGACACAAGAGGCAAAATTTGAACAACTTTGGTAGAGTACCTATAGATGATATCATTTAACAAATATTCAAGCTCTAAGCCTTGTTCCTTCAGACAATAAGATTTTTTGATTTTTTACTATACATGTAGTATATATTGAAAATCAATGACCCCCGGGGCAGGGGCAATTTTGACCCCAGGACTATAATTTGAACAATCTTGCTAGAAGTTCACTTCACAATGTTTCATGCAAAATATCTAACCTCTAGCATTTGTCAATTGCCTAGAAGAATTTTTTTACTATAATAAAGTTTTTACTATATACATATTAAGGAAAACCAATGACCCCCGGGCAGGCCGATTTTGACCCAGGGCTATAATTTGAACAATCTGAATAGAGGTCTACCAGACAATGCCTTATGCAAAATATCTAAGCTCAAGGCCTTTTGGGTCTTTACAAGAAGGTATTTTAAGTTTTTACTATATATACATATAGTGAAAACCAATGACCCCCGGGGCGGGGCCGATTTCGACCCAAGGGCTATAATTTGAACAATCTTGGTAATGGTCTATCAGACAATGCCTTATGCAAAATATCTAAGCTTTAGGCCTTTTGGGTCTTTACAAGAAGTTACTTTAAGTTTTTACTATATGTACATATAGTGAAAATCAATGACCCCTGGGGCGGGGCCGATTTTGACCCCAGGGTTATAATTTGAACAATCTTGGTAGAGGTCTACCAGACAATGCCTTATGCAAAATATCTAAGCTCTAGGCCTTTTGGGTCTTTACAAGAAGATTTTTTTAATTTATTCTTATAATTCCTTTTGGTTGCCATGGCAACCAGATTTCTGCATGGAATGAAATTCTTTGAACAACTTTGGAAGCCCTTCACCCAAGGATCAATCCTGCCAAGTTTGGTTGAAATTGGACAAGTGGTTTTTCACAAGAAGATTTTTTAAGTTCACTATATAATCTATATAACACACACACACACACACAAACAAACACACACACAGGTGAATCGCTATATGCCACCGCATCGCAGATGCTGCGGTGGCATAAAAATGAACACAGGGCAAAAACTCCAAAAGTAGGCAAGGCAGAGTTATGCTTTTTTTGCACTGCACTTCTATTCAATGAGATCTATCTATCTATAAAGTTTCCTGATTATATCAGAGTTATGTCCCTGGTAAAATTCAAAGTGTCAAAAAGAACAAAGGGCAATAACTCCAAAAATAGACCAGGCTTTGTTTAGGTTCTTTAAGCATTGCAGTTCTATCCAATTATATCTAGCTACCTTAAAAGTTTCATGTTGATATCTCTAATAGTTTTAAAGTTATGTCTCGGACAAAAGTCAAAAAGTAAAAATAAACAAAGAGCAATTACTTCAAAATAAGGCAAGGCAGAGTAATGATTCTTAAGCACTGCACTTCCATCCAATGAGACCTATCTATCTTCAAAGTTTCATGTTCAGATATCTCTTAAAATTTTAGAGTTATGTCCCGGACAAAGTTCAAAGTGTGAAAATAAACAAAGGGGGATAATTAAAAAATTTGGCAAGGCAGAGTTATGGTTCTTGTGCACTGCACACCTACTCAATGAGATCTATCTACCTACAAAGTTTCATGTTGATACCTCTTATAGTTTTACAGTTATGTCTTGGACAAAGTTCAAAGTGTCAAAATAAACAAAGGGGAATAATTGAAAAATTAGGCAAGTCAGAGTTACGGTTCTTGTGCACTGCACACCTACTCTATGAAATCTTTCTACCTACAAAATTTCATGTTGATACCACTTATAGTTTTAGAGTTATGTCCCGGACAAAGTTCAAAGTGTAAAATAAACAAAGGGGGATAATTCAAATATTAGGCAAGGCAGAGTTACGGTTTTTGTGCACTGCACACATACTCAATGAGATCTATCTACCTACAAAGTTTCATGTTGATACCTCTTATACATTTAGAGTTATGTCCCGGACAAAGTTCAAAGTGTAAAATAAACAAAGGGGGATAATTCAAATATTAGGCAAGGCAGAGTTACGGTTTTTGTGCACTGCACACATACTCAATGAGATCTATCTACCTACAAAGTTTCATGTTGATACCTCTTATACATTTAGAGTTATGTCCCGGACAAAGTTCAAAGTGTAAAATAAACAAAGGGGGATAATTCAAAACTTAGGCAAGGCAGAGTTATGGTTCTTGTGCACTGCAAACCTACTCAATGAGATCTATCTACCTACAAAGTTTCATGTTGATACCTATTATAGTTTTAGAGTTATGTCCCGGACAAAGTTCGAAGTGTAAAATAAACAAAGGGGAATAATTAAAAAATTAGGCAAGACAGAGTTACGGTTCTTGTGCACTGCACACCTACTCAATAAGATCTATCTACCTACAAAGTTTCATGTTGATACCCCTTATACTTTTAGAGTAATGTCCCGGACAAAATTCAAAGTGTAAAATAAACAAAGGGGGATAATTAAAAAATTAGGCAAGGCAGAGTTACGGTTCTTGTGCACTGCACACCTACTCAATGAGATCTATCTACCTACAAAGTTTCATGTTGATATCTCTTGTACTTTCAAAGTTATGTCCCGGACAAGAAAAGGGGACGGACGGATGGACGGACGGAAAGCCGGACGGACAAGGCGGCAACTATATGCTCCCCCGAAATTTTTTCGGGGAGCATAAAAAAAAGAAAACCCACTGCTCTCCAGATAAGCAGGTAGATTGCAAGTGCAGCTTACAGTCTGACCAGAATTTACAGTCTCTACTGCATTCAATTAACATTTAATACTGAAATGCCCGGAAGCTTCATAATAGTTAAAGTAGGTTAAGATCCAATACATATAATACAATCAAACCTGTGTTTAAGACTCTTAAACACAGGTTTGATTGTATTATATGTATTGGATCTTAACCTTAAAGACCACCTCCATATAAAGATAACCCTGTAAATAAAGGCCATTTTTATAAAACCATTTTTAAAAAAATAAAATTGAATAAATTAACCTTTAAAGAGAGACCACTTGTCTTTAAATAATATACTTTGTCTCAGACTTTGGTAGCCTTTATTTGCAGGTTTGACTGTAAGCAGTATGAGAATTAAATCATGTATTCTATTTGAATAAGTTACCTGCTGTTTTCCTTTAAGGGTGGCAGATGGATGAACATTAGGCATATCTTTATTTACAGACATCAAGTATCTTTGAATCTGTAGAATAAAAATAATAACATGTTAGTTTAAATAACTACAACAAACATGATGCCAGTCAGTTACAGAAACTTGCTTAACCTTTTACCCCATGAGCATATTGCGAAAAATGGCCGTTTTCATTGGAAAGCCTCCTGTAACAAGTTCAAACTGCTATGAAACTATGAAAAATGCTTCAATACTGATGAAACTTGGCACAATTGTTGACTAGACCATAGCCTCTGTGACAGCATGCTCAATCGTAAATTTCTTGTTACCATGGCAACGGGGGGACGTCTCAAAATTGCCAAAAAATCACTCTTATCTGCCAACCCCCTGATGTAACATTTGGATGGGGGGCGCCGCCGAAAAAGTGGTCACTTTTTTTAACAACATTTCTCAAAAGAAAAACAGGGTTGGGGCCTAAATAGGGCATTTTTTCACTGTTTGAGGCCTCAAAAAAGGGGGGGGGGGGGACAAAAAGCCGTCAAAACACATCTATATCAGGGAAAAGGTTAACCCAAATCATAAAGAATTCATAAACAAGTTTCTGATGCTGTATGCTTAATTTCAGTTCTAACATTGACAAAATGTTTCTGATTTTTATAAATGCCAATGCCACAACATGATGTAAACAAATTACATTTTTATCTATGAGAGTGGTGGTTTCCTCTGTGATTTTTTAGAAAATACCAATATAGTAACTCCCTTACATGGTCATTAATCGCTTAAAAGGGCATTACCAGGGGCCGACATAAGGCCCGATACCAAATTCTCATAACCTAACTATTTCCCAGTCTCGATAAAAATATTCCCAATTGCTGGCAAATCAATTTTTTTCAACTTTTAAAAAAATTTGAACAATTTTGACTTGTTTCTCAGAAGAAGAGTCAGCTTATTTGATCATACGCTACAAATATTACTTGAAAAGAGCTATGCATATGGTAATTTTTACAACTTATAAATTTCTCAAATTGCCTGGAACGCCTTATAAATTTTTCCCAATTTAAGCCAGAGGCCTCTTTCCAAAACTGCTGGAAAAAACCCTGCCGTGATCCTTTACAGCTGTGATTATGAAACACTATTTTATGGTTAAAGTAGAGAAAACATAACATATAAAAATATTACATTATGTTTACTATAAATGGAATAGTTAGCTACAAAATTTCTTGTACAAAACAAGTACCTGTCTGTTTGTTTCACAATAGGAAGCCACTGTGTTTGTACGTACACACAATCCTCCTGTGACGGTGTAGGCATAGCAACGTATTTTATCACCATGGAAACAATCCTCCATGTCCCCGGTATGATCTATCCACGTAGACATGTCTTGTATGACACCTGACATATCATTTTCTGGTATGTAACTCAAGATATCTGGGGGGAAAAAAAGAGAGAAAAATTAAACAAGAGGCCCTAGATCGCTCACCTGACCCATCAAACTCATCCACACAATTACCTAGACAAGCATTCTGACCAAGTCTCATCACAGGTGAGTCAAAAATGTGACCACTACAGTGTTAACAAGGATTATCCATATTTGAGCAGTATGACCTAGTTTTTTACCCAGGTGATCCATATTCAAACTTGACCTAGAAATCATCAAAACAAACTTTCAGACCAATTTCCAGGATACTTGGATCAAAACAGTAGCAACTAGAGTGTTAACAAAATTTTTCTATTTTTTGCTCCAGTGACCTAGTTTCACATGCAATTTCGAACTCATCCGAGCAATTACCTAGACAAGCATCCTGACCAAGTTTGATGATAATTGAGTCGAAAATGTGACCACTAGAATGTTAACAAGGTTTTTCCATATTTGGGCGGTGTGACCTAGTTTTTCATCCAAGATGACCCATGTTCAAACTTGACTTAGAAATCATCAAAACAAACTTTCAGACCAATTTACAGGATATTTGGATCAAAACAGTAGCCACTAGTGTTAACAAGATTTTTCTATTTTAAGCTCCTGTGACCTATTTTTTCATCCAAGATGACCAATGTTCGAACTCATCCAAGCTATCACCTAGACAAGCATCTTGACCAAGTTTGATGATGATTGATGCAAAAATGTGACCGCTAGAGTGTTAACAAGGTTTTTCTATTTTTAGCTCCAGTGACCTACTTTTTCATCCGAGATGACCCATGTTCGAACTCATCCGAGCTATCACCTAGACAAGCTTCCTGACAAAGTTTGATGATGATTGATGCCAAAATGTGACCGCTAGAGTGTTAACAAGGTTTTTCTATTTTTAGCTCCGGTGACCTACTTTTTCATCCAAGATGACCCATGTTCGAACTCATCCAAGCTATCACCTAGACAAACATCCTGACCAAGTTTGATGATGATTGAGGCAAAATTGTGACCTCTAGAGTGTTAACAAGATTTTTCTATTTTAAGCTCTTGTGACCTAGTTTTTCATCCGAGATGACCCATGTTCGAACTCATCCTAGCTATCAACTAGATAAGCATCCTGATCAAATTTGATGACGATTGAGGCAAAAATGTGACCGCTGGAGTAATAACAAGGTTTTTCTATTTTTAGCTCCAGTGACCTACTTTTTCATCCGAGATGACCCATGTTCGAACTCATCCGAGCTATCACCTAGACAAGCATCCTGACCAAGTTTGATGATGATTGATGCAAAAATGTGACCGCTAGAGTGTTAACAACAAAATGTGAACGGACGACGGACGGACGACGGACAATCATCGATCCTTAAAGCTCACCCTGAGCATGCTCAGGTGAGCTAAAAATTGTGCACAAAAGTTTGTCAATAAACAATAACACAATTTTCTCTTGAAATTTAGATATCAGTATCCTTGAAAGTATATCAAAGGCACTCTTGAGTGACAAAAAGCAAATTTGTTACCAGAAACTTTAAAAACAAGATATGTATGAAACCTACATAGAAAAGATAAATAGATAAAGGGGTGGCCTAGTGATTATGGTGTCTGCTTCTCACTCTAGGGATCATGGGTTCAAGCCCTACTGGGGTAACAACACCTCACAAGGTTTCCACACAAGCCACCATTATACTTGTAAGTTCCAAGAAGCAAAAGCAATAGTGATTCTAATAAGCTGCTGTCTCCTTAATCAAGCTTCAATAAATAATATTTAAACTAAACACTTGGTGCTCCATTAACTGACTAATGCTTGTTAGGTAAAAATAGATACAAATGAGGCCACCTGGTGGATATATATGGAGGTGTTTTTAAAATTAGGGATCCTTTCATGTATATGTTTTTGTGTTGCAGAGAGAAATCAAAAACTTATCCAGTTACTTCTTTAAGACTTTAACTAACCTGACTTAACATCTTCTGAAATAATAGATTCATTTGTGTTTGGTATGTCTTTCTTTTTTCTTCTGGCAAACTGTTTCTTCACAAGATGTGGAATTAGCTCCCCTTTCAATGAAGATATTTGTCTGTAAAAACAAGATCAATCCATTTGAACTGATTTTTTAAGTTACCAATTTTTCATCAAAAGGCTGCTATATGTTAAGCATATACTGCCTATGTAAAAGTATTAAACATTAATATCAGAATAGCATATTTGACTTTTTTGTTAAGCTTTGTCTGACTAACAACAAATTCTTCATAATAATACATAATCTGCATATAATGGGGATTCAAGGTACTTTTGCAATTTTAAACCTTTTTTATTTGTTTGCTAATCATTTTATCATTTTCCTTTGAATCTAGCAAGTACCATCTACAAAAGATTATTTTTTTTTTCAAAAGTAGACGGGTTGCCGATAACATAAAGAGAGAAAGGAAAACGGCGTTTTATAACATGTTTCAGGATATTTCACACAGCTATCTTATCATAAAATAACCTCTGTAATTTTGTCCTAATTACATTGTTTTATAAAGTAATATTAGACCAAAAGTAAATGTACAGTTGTATACTGAATACTTACTTATTATCAGCTAAATAGTTTATCACCCACTTCTTCATAAGATAAAGGTGACAGTCTGTTAAATTGGACCTAATATTTACATTAGGGTGCCTACAAAAAAAACAACACTACAATATAGTTGAACAAAACAGCTTTTTAGTTGGTCAGCAGTATCTGATTTTACCCATGGAATCAGCGCCGACCAAGATCCACCAGAACATTCTTACCATCAAATCATGTTCTGCTATTTTTGCTGTTCAGTCAGTATGATTTTGAAAAATTTCCCAAAAAATGATGAATGTTTTTTTTCTCCATATCTAAAGATCAACAAGAAAATTTAAGATTAGTAAGAATTTATATAGATCTACTTATTGATATATACAAATATGAATAATATTACATATTTATAGTAAAGGGACATCATTTAAAATTCTATCCAAATTACAATACATAATAGCTAGATAAGTGGTTTAGAGTTGAGCATAAAACTTTTGAAATATTAAAATGTATACATAATCTTCAGCATGTCACACTCATATTTTTACCCGCAATTTAGAAGACTGTGTAATCAGAATATATAAATATAATATCATTATGCCAATCCAAAATAATACAAACATTAATCACATGAAGACTTTCAAGCGTTACAAGTAATAACAAGCAATTATCATAGTATTGCAAGCAATCCATAAGTCCCCTACCAGTTAGAACCCCATCAACATTCTGAAGGGCCATTGGCCATTCACTAATGTTTCAATTTTTCTCTATTTTAAGTAAATTTGTTGGAAAAGTTCTTTAAAAGTGATCACAGGAAACAGTTTTTATGAACAGACAGACGGACTGAAGGACACTCTAAAGTTAATATTTGAAACATCCCTGTTACCAAAATATAACATTTTAAAAGCAAAATTCTTAAAGAGGAGATAACTCTTGAATTAAAGATGCAATTTCATAAAAATTTTCAGCTCTTTTTGACTAATCACAAATATTGTTTTATTTGCCATGTTTTAAGCCTATTTGTTGCCAAGGCAACTGATATTTTATCAAAATAGGAAGAACGGATAAGACATGCATAATCTCAAGACTGCTATCTACCCATATGTCAAGTTTCATAAAAATATTTCCAGTACTTTTTGAGTTATAACTGGATTCAGTTTATGTGTAAAATTTGCCATATTTTCAGTCTATGTGTTGCCATAGCAACCAGAATTTTCAACATAGGAAGAAAAGAAAAAGACATGCATAATCTCAAGACTGCCATCTACCAATATGTCAAGTTTCATAAAAATATTTCCAGTACTTTTTGCGTTATCACTGGATCCAGTTTATGTGTAAAATTTGCCATATTTTCAGCCTATTTGTTGCCATAGCAACCAGAAATTTCAACATAGGAAGAAAAGAAAAAGACGTGCATAATCTCCATACTGCCATCTATCCATATACCAAGTTTCATAAAAATATTTTCAGTACTTTTCAAGTTATCGCGGGATCCAGTTTATGTGTAAAATTTGCCATATTTTCAGTCTATTTGTTGCCATAGCAACCAGAATTTTCAACATAGGAAGAAAAGAAAAAGACGTGCATAATCTCCATACTGCCATCTATCCATATACCAAGTTTCATAAAAATATTTTCAGTACTTTTCAAGTTATCGCGGGATCCAGTTTTGTGGACGGACGGACTGACGGACTGACAGACGGACAGACGGACGGACGGACAGACGGACGGACGGACAGACGGACGGAGGGTAAACCTAAAGTCCCCTCCGGTAAACCGGTAGGGGACTAATAAGAAATACTTCCCTTCCTTACCAGCAGTTCTTAGAATTGAAGAATATTTTTCTTACTTTTTAAATAAAGATTTTCTAAATTTGATTTTATCATCATCCATATCTGTGAGATCAGCCTCTGATGTCATGAACAAAACCCTGTTACCTTTCTCATCAAAACCTATAAAATCTCGCTCTGAAATGAATGTAAAATTATATATATATTATTTAAACTTAATAGTAAACATAAACACAACTGTAAGACCTTATAGTAATATTATACAAAGGTGGTAATCATGGTAATGGCTAAACCATTCCAAGAATCAGTGAAGCATACCATCGCTACAAAGGTAACATGTGTCAACTTTTTAGCTTTACTGGTGAAACCTGAGACAACCCTCAATCATAATTCCAAACACAATTGATACTTAGAATTATTTTCTATTTTTTCATGCCAATTTAAACACTTGGTTTGATCAAATCACCTGACTGGCTTTCCTGGTTTACTAACCAGTAACCATTAATATTTCCCCAAGTGATCATTTGGTGCAATGTCCAAATAAAAATTTCAACAGAGAAATTTTGCCATACTTGACAGGGTTCTCGGGGACGCTTATTTCGGCGTCCCGGTACGCATGTTTATTACAGCTGGACGCAAATATTTCAGAGCAAGGATTCCACGTACGCTTAATTTTGCCTGGGGACGCATAAACATTGCCGATTGTTTACAACCACTAATACACAAATTCGTCGGCGCGTGTCAGTCTATAGGTAGGCGGTCCTATGCACATCGACCCGTGAAGCGATTAGCCAATCAGCTATAACGCTTTCGATCATTATCACGCAATAGAGATCAGACTAATGTATGTACACGCGCTGTAGGTGTAATTAACAGATATAACACGAGATATATTTGATCAACAGTTAATTGGAAATTAGTAAATTTTACCGACAAAAGGATAAAAATATTGACTATTTACGCCGCAAGTTTAAAGACTGTTTTCTCAAATTACAAATGAGTGTAATTTTGAATTATTGTCGAATATTTTCGGCATTTTCTAGGCAAAATTTTGCTTTCGTTTCATGCCTGCAAAAACATTCTATAAGAGTATGAAGAATTTGAGATTTGTGCCGAAATTCCAGGGCAACAAACCAAAATACACATACGCTTTTCTTTGATATTTAGATTTTATCAGAAAATTGATCCCGAACATCGGCAATTTCACTTCGCCAGAAACCCTAAAATTTCGCAAAAATTCTCAGTTTCCAAGCCAAACATGTGAATGAATTGTTCCTTTATTATTCAATCAACATTAAATCTTTAAATATCGATCTTCAATTTGCCCCCTTTTGAAGATATTTGCTAAAATAATTATCGATCGGATGAATCTCTTACACACTGTGTGAAGCTGTACGCGATTTTCCTATTCATTCCGCTAAACGCTTCCTATATACATTTACGTTTTTTTTTACAACTTTTTGTCTTTAGAGTGGACTTATTTTACCAGAATAAAATTTGATTTGGTATGAAAGTGAAAAATAAAAAAGGAGTTCCATGTGTTGATGCATTAATGATTATAATGAAATAATTTTAAAATAAATATTAACAACAAAACAATAAATTTACTATGTAGTTCAGAGTTTGTTGTGAATAACTATAAACTTTGAAAGTCTCTTGAAGATTCAAAATATCAGCAATGCTATTGTGAGAATTAAATAACTAATCTGTAAACATATTAATTGTGACGCGCTTTTGGACTCCAACTTTTTCAGGGTTGGGAGTCCATGGACTCCATGTTTTAAAGTCCTAGTGAGAACCCTGCTTGAGGATCAAACCAGCCACCCCTGCAATACCATTCTGATGCTCTCCCTATTGAGCTAAGCAGGTAAGCTTATCTAGAACAGGAATTTCTAATAAGTCATTACCAGATCTTTTCTTCGATTTTGGACCAGGAACCGGTATCTCTGAGGTCTGTTCTGGTGTGCTACACAGCAGCATGGTGATGGTGGCATCATATGTTCTGAAGATGTTAACAATGTGATGTAAACTAATGTCCATTATCAAATCACAACTGATCAACAAGATGTCTCTCTGAAATTGAAAATATATATCATCTATATACAGCATATGTCATACTAATGTAACAAAGTTATCAAGAAAGTATATTGAGCTTACCATTGTTACTTTTTCACCTCTTTTTTTTATGAGTTTTGGGTCACATAACCAAAACCGCATAGAATATATGGCCAATTACAAGCTTTGGTGGTTAAAATTTTAATATGACTCCAGGGCCTTGTGTGCATTATCAAAGGCAAGAAAATAAAACATCTATGCACCTGCACCTCAGTGACCTGGTTGGAGTTAAACATCTTCTTCATATGAGAGTTCTTTCTTAAAATACATTTAGATGCTGATGAAATTTATACTTGATTTTAAGTCAGTTACCAAAACCATTTTGCCACTGACACCTACCAGTCTGTCATTCTATCACATCACAAATATTTCAAACTTTATTCATGTTACTTGTATTACAAAATAAATTACCTTTATTTTGTCCTTGATGTATCTTAAAGAGTCTGCAGTTCCCATATAATCCTGATCAGGTATACTCACAAAGTCTAATCTCATTTTAACATCACAAATCTCCACCAATAACTTTTGTGCTTCAGCACAGTATGAGTCTAACACTATCACAATCGCCTCTGAAAAATAAAGTATTTTGGATTTATATAAGCTAAAAATTGTATATAAGAATCCAATCTGAAGTCATGAAATTTAAAAATGATCCAAACCAGTGAAGGGAATTTGTAACAAAAGCAGGGTTTCCTCCAATAAAATATCATTCTAATTAAGTGAAAAAAAAAGCCGTAATTCTGCATAATTAATTATAATAAAATCCATAAAATCTGCATTCACAAATATTTTGATCTTGGTTTGCACTGGTTGCATGAGTAGATTCAGTTACAGCCACCAGGCTACATGTAAGAGTAAGAATGAAAATATCTCAAAAACATATTAATTTAATTTTAAATCATAATCTCTGTTCCTTTTACCTTTATCAAATATTTGATTGAATTTACCTTCAAATCCTGCTCGTTGTAAGGTATTTATTGGATACCATAGCATGGGCATATTTCCTATTGGCAGTAGAGCTTTGGGTACCTGTGATGTAAGATCTGTCATCCTAGACCCTCGGCCAGCCGCCAGAACAACTGGTTGAAACTCCATTGATCTACTTGTAACACAATTAATATTTTCAGCAATTTGACTGTCATGCCAATAAATTATGCACAAACAGCCTTTTGCAAAAAAAAATCTTCTTGAAATATTTTCTCACAAATCCTTCTGTGATCTTGTGATTGAAAACAGAAAAAAAAAAAAAATACAAAATATGTTCAATAATGTTGCAAATATTAAAATGTTAATTTACCTATTATTAACGCACACATTACATATAATAAAACAGTTTCAGAAAGTAATGATTTACATTTGACCTATTATCACATTTTAGCGACAAAAAGTATATTTATAATTAATAATTAACGAATTGAGTTATATTACGAAAATTATTAGGACGAATATAAATTGGAAATTTTATGTTGTTGTAGGATAAATTAATATTTTGTAAAAAGATAAGACAAAAAGAACAAATGTATTACAAATCAGATATTTTAGTGTTATTTAAACGTAACGTAATATACTTTTTATTAGTCGCTTGTAAGTCAGCTGTGCCGATTTATTTATCCTGATGCAACTTCTTAAAGTAAGCACGACATCGGTGTTTCACTTAATTTCTACTCAAGTAAATTTTTAGCGCACCATGCGGGCTATTCTTTCCGGGCAACGCAGCAAGAATATCATCACATGTTACCGCAGCTCTAGCAGAAACGGGTTCTTCTTTTATACAAAAAGAAAAACAATAAAAAATAAAACAACAAACTAACAAAATGTTAATAATTTTTTAATTATGATTAATAAT